CCAATGCTGCAGCCACACTGGCCTCCCCGTCAGGCACGCCTCTGCCTCCCAGCATCTGTCCTTGGCCGTGTCTTCCACCGGGACAGTCAGACCCTGTTGTCTGCTGGCTGGGCACCTCCATCGTATCCTTAGGCCTTGTACACCCGTCTCCTAACGGAGCGGCGTTTTCTGGCCACCTTCTCCCTGCATTCCGCTCCACTCACTTCAAGGTGGTATCTTTGAGGGTAGGGTTCTGCCCGGTATATTCACTGCTGAATTCCTGGTGCATGGAACAGCATTTAGAATAGTGCATGGAACAGCATATAGGCAGTGTGTGGAGGAGCATGTAGAACAGTGCATGGAACAGCATATAGGCAGTGCGTGGAGGAGCATGTAGAACAGTGCATGGAACAGCATATAGGCAGTGTGTGGAGGAGCATGTAGAACAGTGCATGGAACAGCATATAGGCAGTGCGTGGAGGAGCATGTAGAACAGTGCATGGAACAGCATATAGGCAGTGTGTGGAGGAGCATTTAGGACAGTGCATGGAACAGCATATAGGCAGTGCGTGGAGGAGCATGTAGAACAGTGCATGGACCAGTGTATGCCCGGTGTGTGGAACAGCATTTAGAACAGTGTGGAGTAGCACATGGACTCTCCTTAAGAAGGTGTGGTCTGAGTAGTTGTAACCAACAGGTGCTCAAAGCTCCCCAGGGCCCTATAGTTCCCTATATCCCACCATGATCTACAGAGTGAGGGAGGGAGAAGGTAGCCAAAGTGCAAGTTTAAACACAAGTCACACAGGTTGGAAGTGGCCTGTGGACTAGGTTACAAAACCACAGAATGTAATTCAAACATCTGGAGACCGGCATAGGTCCGTGCGTGGTCTGAAAGGTTAAGCTGCACCCGCCAGCTTTCCCGGGGCTGGCGGTCACATCGGTGGATGCCATGCCTTTCCTCGCCCTCTAAGGAAGGAAGAGGTTCTGTGTCTGCGTGGAGTTAGCATAACAGTGAGCGTGCCCATGGTACATATGATGGCTCGTCGCCAGGAACAAGTGAAATGGTGCTGTTAATTATTACTGCTTTTTAAAGCAGGAATTCTAGAGCCGCGAGTCTAACTGGCCGGGAGCCCCTGGGAATCTGTAGAAGGCGCCATGGTGCCCCTGAGAGGGCTGGTCTAATAGGGGGTTCTGACTTTATCTGGATGGCGTGTTCTACCTTCCGGTAAAGTTTCTGCAAAGTAAGGTTCTGACCCTCAGAATGCTTGAAGGACTCCCCTTAAGAGCGAGTCGAGAGCCTGGAGTCGTGAAGACGCCTACCCGTGTGGAAGGTTTCCCGTTTCCCCGCCTGCCCCATCATTTCAGGGCCTGTTTGCTTTAGAGAAAGAGCGGCTGCCTCCGGAAGTCTCCCTGATCATAAGCCGCCTTTTCTAACTCCCAAATGTCACCTCTGTCATGCAGGATCTTCTTCAGATTCGATCGTATATCTACGCGGAGGAGCCGAGCATCGACATCCACAATTTTGTGGGAACATTTACCAGGGTACGTAGCTCCGCTTGCCAGGGACTCCCGTCTTCGAGTGTGGATTCACCATGGGAGCCCGCAGACACGCGTCTGAGGGTCCTTGTCAGGAAGTATTTCTTTGGGGGTGGGAGGGGGAGGAAAGGGGAGAGGGGAAGGAA